CCAGCCCTCTGTAGAGTTTTAATAAGGCAGACAGCTCTGGCCTTTTGGGTATGTGTGGTCAGAAGCCTTGAACACCATCCAGAGCTGCCTAGACTTTAAAAATTGATTCACTTGAAACTAAAGTAGGACATAGTCTCAAAGGTTATAGGTATTTCAAAAATAGTCACTGAACACTTCATGAATCATTCTCGTACTACCACTAAACACGATACCAAATTAAGTTCTACATTACACAAACCAAGGATGTCTGTTTTAGACCATGACTGGTAGAAAACTGGGCTTGCAGGACAATGAAAGAAGAAATTCTAAGGTACGAGTACTGTTGAAATGTCAGTTTCCAGATCCCCCAGGACTAATGCTTGCTGATCCAGCCTTACAAGGGGTTGCTTTCCTTCACTTAGTTTCATTTAAATTAATGGCTAGTGGCCAGAGCTCTTAATTTATAGAAGTTTAGGGGAAATAATAATAAAAAAAAAACAGTAAATTACTACTAAGCACACCGTTTTCATTTTTTTTAAATTGAGATCATGAATTCAAGACTAGCTTGTTTTTTCCAGCAATGAACTCCCAACTTTCTTATACCTCCCAGCCACAAACACGTAAGACTTTGTTTTGAATTTGGCAAAAATATGTATTCTCTTCTACAGCTCCTTGTTCTATAAAAAGCCAGATACACAAAAGTAAATTGTAAGGGTTTCCCTTTAAAATATTAGCATTACCAGGGCCCTCAACCCTATTTTTTAGGGAACTACAATAATTGAATTAAAGGAACTTGTCATCACAACTGGGAAGCAGGAACTGTGTAGCCAGCCTGTCACAAGTCCTCTGCAGATTCAGCCAGCCTCAGCTAGAAAAACGTTTAAAACTGCATCTGTACTGGACACATGCAGACAATATACTGCAACAACCTATTACGTGGCATTTGCACGTATTAGGTACCCTAAGCCATCAAGAGATTTACAGCTATGTACCTGTTATATATGGACGTGAGCACTCATGGATTTTGGTATCTTAAGGGTACAGGCACTGATCCCTCATGGATGCCAAGCCATAATTAATCATACTTCATTACCAGGACTGTAAGGTCCTTGTTTATTCCTTGTAGTTCTTGTATTAACTCTACATTTTAAAAGCTAAATATAAGATGTAGACACCAATTGATATTTCACATAGGAAATTACGCAGATGGAATGAAAGCTAGAGGAAATCTTTCATTAGCCTGAATAAGTATGAAGTAAAAAACTTAAAGGAAAAATAGGGCAAGAACATCCTCAATATTTATGGGAGAAGAAAGGTGTGGATTAAGGAATGAGTATGACAGAACCTGCTTAGGTAGCAGCCATTCAAACTTGATAGCACAGAAAGCTTAGCAATTATTCCTAAACTATTAGGAGTGAAGTTACACAGGAAGGTTGTTATGAGCTTGTCACAAATTTTCCT